CATGACTAAGAAAACTCCTCCAGACTTATTTGGGGCTTGCTAGTCCCAACAATGTGAGCCATTTTTCTGGCAGTTTGTGAGTTCTATGAGACATTATAGAGAAATATGGAACCCTAAGACAAGAGGAAGAGTCCTGAGGGGAAAGGCAGAGTTGATGTTAGAGATGATGGAGTCATACAGCAGCATGGAAAGGTTGGATATTTGGGACATCTTTAACCTCCACTTCATAAGGACTGGGGAGCTCTGGTGGCGTAGTGCCTAAGGCATTGGACTGCTAACCAGAAGGCTGGCGGTTCAACCCCACCTCAAAAGGAAGGTTGGGCAATCTACTTCCGTAATGATACCACCTCGGAAACCCAATGAAGGGTCGCTATGAGTCAAAATCTACTCAATGGCAATGATTTTGCTATTTGCTCATAAGGACCAACCTTGTGCTGCTCCTTCTAAAAGAAATTATTCAAGCAACATGTAAGTGTATACACACACACACACACTCAAAGCTCCAAGGAAAGCTAAATTCTTGATAAAACTATAAATTAAGACTAAAATGCTCAGCATGCAAAACTCTCAATCTTCAGAATTTCAAACTTGCCAAATAATGAGTGAAACTGTTAATAAAAATGAAAGTAATATACATCCAAACATTTAGGATTCTGTCAAAGCTGCATGTAGTAGCCATCAAGGTCTTAAAACTGTTTACTAAAGAAAAAGCTTTAAAATAATTATAAGAACAATCCTAAAGAAAGCAAGAAGAGTATCATGAATAAAGCTACAAAGAGAACAGAGACAAATCCAGGTGGAATAATAAATGAAACCACAAGCTACTTCTCAGAAAAAGTAAATCAGAAACGTAGAAATATTGCGACAAAATCTAATGCAGGTAACAGGAAACAAGCTTCAATACTAGAAACGAGCAAAATGGGATTCTGAGGAGGGAGGGCAATGTTCTGCCCTCAGTGGGGCCACTTTTGCTTAGATGGATGAACCCCAAACCCCAAAGCACTGCCATCAAGTAGATTCCAACTCATAGCGACCCCACAGGACAGAATAGAACTGCCCCATACAGTTTCCAAGGCTATAAATCTTTATAGAAGCAGACTGCCTCAGCTTTCTCCCATGCAGTGGCTGGTCAGTTTGAACCAGTGACATTTTGGTCAGCAGCCAATGCCTTAACCAGTGTGTCACCAGCTCCAGGTTAATAAAGAAAAAGTAAATTATAGTCTCTGTAGATATTGTAAATTGTTCAATGAACTGGGCCCTAATTCCTTTTAAAGACTCTAAAGCATAAAGTTAATTTTTCAAGCAATCTACTCATTACCTTTAATGGCAAAGAAATTTCTCATTATCATCAGATACTTTTTTTAAAAAAGCTAATTAACACTATCATACTTAGAATTGTTGAGAAGTTGTGACCAACTCAATCATACGACAAAGAAACAGAATTGGTGGGAAGGCAAAGTTTCTATTGTGGCACTAAATGAAAAATGAAGAAAAAAAAAAGAAACCAGCTAATCTACAAATATGCCTTGTTATTACTGATGCACACACAGCATTTTCTTCACAAAACATTTTTATTATAATCATTGCTCTTTTCCTTACACTTTTGGCAATGTTAATAAAATAATCAACTTTCTCTTTAGAAACCAGCAAGCAAAACAGACAAGGGAATCCACACATAAGAGGTAATAAAAACAGTAACCACAACAGATTCTCAATGTCAAATACATTTGTAAACAGAACAAAGTGACGCTGCATTAAAAAAATAGAGCGCTATCAATAGAAAAACAGACACAGTTCCTGAATGCACTCTACAGTAATTCTCTTTTGGTTGCAGGCACAAGGTTATCAACTCAAGCTAGTTCAGTTCTAAGAGGGATTCCAAGCCCTCGATCATAATCTCCTTCCCAGCTTGTTGTGAAACTGGGGAAATGTATGTGGACTGGGGAGAGAAGGGTGGACTGGGGAGAGGCAAGATAGAGGGGAAAGCCAGGGTCAAAGAGCAGAGACTCCACTGCCAGTGTCATTGCAGGGGCATTCAGGAAGGTCAATGAACCAGACAAGTGCTCCACCACTGAGTGAGGTAGCAAGGCATGTGCACGAGGGGCAATGTGTTCCAAGTGAGTAGCATGTGCAAGGTGTCCACAAGGAGAACGAGTGTGATCCCTTGAGGGAAAGCAAGGCCAGTATGGCAGGAAACAGTGAATTAGTGGGGAGAACAGGAGAGAAGCATGGCAGAGGGTGAGAGCAAGAGAAGAGGTAGGCAGGGGCCAGGTTACCCGATCCACAGTTGGCAATGAATGCCAAATGGCACTCCCCAAGGGTTTGCTTCAGCACAGCAGCAAACCACAATCAGTGTTACCATACAAAAAGAATGAAACCCCAAATCTACAGCTGTCCACTCACAGCACCCGTAGAGGACAGAGTAGAACTGTCCCAGAGGGTTTCCAAGGCTGTCAATCTTCACAAAAGCAGATTGCCACATCTTTCTCTTGCGGAGTAGCTGATGGGTTCCAACCATGGACCTTTTGGTTTGCAGCTGAGTGCTTTAACCACTGCAGTACCAAAGCTCCTTGTTATACGACTAAGCAACCACAAAACCACAGAGCCCACTAAAAGGGACACTGGAGGCGAAAGGGTATAGACCTGTTTATACACAGTAGCTTCCACCTGAGCAGAACAAGTGGAAGAAATACAGCAGTTTTCAATTAATTAGGGGGGAAAACATCTTTCTCCACGTAAACAAAGGATTCAGGCAGAAACTGTCACAAAGTGCCTCGGCCCAAGCAGAGAGAAAGGCCTAGTGCATCGTTCAAGGTGCAAATCAACCAGTCAAGTAGTGAATAAACACAGAATCTACAATAATCTCCAGTGTGGAGGACACGCACAACACAACTGTGTTTCCTGTAGTCCCTCCTCCCTCCCTCCAAGAGGGAAGCTGAACCCTTAATGATAACCTCCTTCCAGCCTTTGGTGAGAGCCCGGAAAGTGCAGGAGACTGGGCAGGGGAAGAAAGAAGATGGCAAGGGGCCTTTGAGGAGGTGGCACTGGCAAAGGGAAGCTTGTCCAGGCCTAGCACTCAAGGCACAACCCCGGGCTCCTTGAGCAGTGCACATGAGCGTGTTGGGCATGTCAGTCAGGGAAGAGGGAGAATGGGCACACAACACACGAAGGAGATTAACCCTGTGAACTACAGCAGCAGCCAAGGCTGACAGTACTCAGGAACAAACTCTCACAGGACCTTGAGAGACTGGCTCTCCTACAGTACAGAGACAGATTAGAGCCTGACAGCGCTGAAGGCAGTCACTCTAAGACTTAGCATGGACTGAAATCAGTGGGGTATTTCTTGCACAGTGCATGTGTCAAGCCCCAGAATCAGTATCAGTTAGAGAAATTGTAAACTATACATACAGGCGGCACAGTAACTATTAACTGTGATACATTCACGTTCAAGGCAAGATTCAAAATGGCCAGTGGCACATGTTCAATCAGCTTAAGACACGTATGCACAGAAAAATATAAGGAAATACCCTGCCAGAGCTTAGTGTGTCATGTTGGGCTTTGTTTATGTCCCTTCCACGTGCTGCTCATGGACAGGCCCACTGCAGCTTACCAATGGGAGACAAAGCTCAGGCCAGTCCATGAACTACCAGACAGGTACTCTTTGGTCCCCTTCATTCAAAGAATGCCAATCATGACTCCTTTCTGTGGAGTAGCCTTACTGGCTTCTAAATGCTGGTTGAATGAGAGGAACATGGCCAATTCAGTCTCCACCAAGGGCCACCCAGAAGTGACAATCCCTCAACAGGAGGCCCACTGGCACCAGGACCCCTCCTATTAATTTGTGCTGCAGCTTCATATGCAGCCAATGACTCACAGATGCTCTTTGATGTCTGCAGGAGCCCCTGGTCAAATACAGGCAAACCCCTCAAACCACTGGCTTTGGTGCCCATTCTTGTTTCTGTTGTTGGTCTGTGACTTTGGGGATCTTAAGTGTTACAGAGCACAAATGCTCCTTGAGGCTCCTTGGCTGTCTCCTTTACAGAAGTGTATTGTCACCGACATGCCTCTCTTCTCAGGGGCCATGTGGTGGGTTTGAACAGCCAACCTTTTGGTGGTCTCCTGAGTACAAATGTCGCATGGATTCAAGACACTTACAAAAATAGAACCATCAACTCTACAAGATCAAAATGATAGCATGTGCCCAGGGAGAAAGCTCAGAAGGTAGGAAGGGACAGGAAAGAAAGATGAAAGGAAACAGGAAACACAGGGAGGAAGTGGGAAGAGTACTGTTCCATGGTGCGGACTGCAATGAATGTCACAAAACAAAACCTATGTGAACAGTTGAACAGAAAACCAACTTCCTCTGTAAACTTTCACTCGATTCACAAAAAGTTTAAAAAAAAAAAAAAAAAAAAAGATACATTCAGTGTTCATTTCACATTGGCTCCCAAATCCAAGTGGAGGTGTGCTTCTTCCTCAGCTGAACAAGGAGCCAGTGGCCCTCCCCTCAGCACTGCCTGCCTGGGCATCTTCAGGCCAAGCATCTCCTTAGCTCTAGGCACTCAGGCCTTCAGAACAAGCTTCTCTTGGATGAGCACAGCAGAGGCACTTCTGGGAGTTCAGCAGCAAATGGGCAGCTTGCCCCATGACAAAGCCGTTGCAATCAGATGAGAGTTCATCTTCAAAGCGTCAATGTGTGCAAAAAGTTGAAAACAAAACTCAGTATTTCAAAAACTCTACAGACTCTGTGAACAGAAGTATGACCTTTCAAGCTTAGGCGTAACAATAAATACTCAAATTATTGTTGGTGGTGTTTCTCACTCACGCACTCACACACTCTCACACACACACACACACACACACACACACACTATGGGTCAAGCCAGATACAGTTACAAGAAAATCAGACAATATATTCTAAAATAAACCTCATAACTCAGCCCAACAACATCAGGTAGCAGGAATTAAAAACAACTCCCAAATGATTCCTTGGTTTCCATTCATTGGGCGCTATTGACAAACACGTGGCTTGCATTCTTTGTTTTCACGGGTGCTTTTGACTTTGACTGAGGTGCTTTAGGTTTAGCTTTACCAAGACTAGACTTAGTGGCGTTTTGGGGAGCTTTTTGGCCTGGGAGTGATGGCTCAGAGTCCAACGTGCTCACAGTAATGGACACTCCAGGCTGACCAGGCCCCGGGGACACCTGAATAACCACTCTGCTTTCAGAAGGCAGCCCTTCCAGTTGCTCAGGCTTCTTAAACATCTGGTGATACTGGGTCTTGTGCTCCATCTTCTCTTTGAAAGTCAAAAACTGGAGGCGGCATTTGGAACACTGGTGGGTACTCTTTTCCCTGTGCCCCCGATAATGGCACATGTACGGGCTTGCCGTTTTGAAAACCTTGAGGCAGAACGGACAGAGCAAGCTTTTTGTGTTCTCATGGCAGGTTCTGAAGTGGGTGTCCATATCAATGAAGGCCGAAGACCGGTAATTACAAACCTGGCACACATAGGGCATTTCTCCAGGCTTGTGAGTGTCCTTCATGTGTTGTAAGAGAGACTGGTCCGTGTCAAATGCCAGCTCACAGATCTTACACACAGCAGACGGCTCCTGGGGGATGTGCACACGCTCGATGTGGCGCTGCAGCTGGAAGGGAGTGGGGAACTGCCGATGGCAGTGCTGGCAGATGGTGTGGCTGTCCCAGCTGTCCCCCCTCTGCCTCTCGAGTTCCAAATGGTGCTTCATGTGGTTCATGAACCTGACGTTCTTTAGGACCTTCATGCAGCTGAAGCATTTAAAGGTCGTGTGAGTCTTCTGTTCAGGCTGCCCATGTCCATCATGGTGTCCATAGTAGAAGTCATGAAGTAACACAACCGGAGTTCCTTCCTGGGAGTCAGTGGTCTTGTGTTGACTTGCTGGTCTTGAAGAGGCTGTGTCCACTGGCCCCTCATGTTCCTTGTTGGGATTTACAGGCTTACAGTTGGCACTGTCCTTTGGAGACGCTTTAGGAAAAGGTACTCCATTCTGAACTCGGCTCACTGAGGTATCAGCACGTTTAGAGGGTGCACTGTGCTCAGTGCTCTTTGTCAGAGAGTGACCTGAGGGGGACAGAGCTGAAGAATGCTCCCCTGGGACGCCATGGCCAAGTTTAGCCCTCTTAGAACGTACGCCGTTTACTTCCAAAGCAGAATGTCGCTTTGACCCACTAGACCCTTCATTCACACCTCCTACCGAAAGTGCTAATCCTCCTGGGTGCTGCAGTGAGCTTGTGAACCGGATCGAAGGAGCACACAGCTCAGCAGAGCTATTCAGCTTGGGCTGTGGGGAGTTACCCTGACAAACGGGATCATATGAAGGCTCAATAATGATAGGACTATCTGTTGATCTCGATTCAGCTGGAGAAACGGGGGAGACCGCCACAGCCTCTGATGGAGGGGTCCTACGAACTGGAGGATGCAAGACACGGCGAGCTGGATCCCGTCTGAGCTGACCGTACTTTCTCCTCCTTGAATAGGAGCCTGGGGTGGCTCGGTTCAGAATGGTCGAGACAATTGGCTTTGAATGGGAGGTGACACCGACAAAGATCAGCTCCGCATCTTCATTCACACGCTCTACACCAACAAAGATCAGCTCTGAGTCTTCACCACCTTCATCATTCCCTGGTTCCATTTCTTCTCCACTCTTCTGTGACTCTGGCTCTTCTTGATCTTCCTCACACAGCTGTTCCATTTTCTTTTCTTTTCTTTCTTTTTTTTTATGCGTGGAGGGTACAGTCACCACAAGTCCCAGGGCTTCCTTTGCAGACTTTCACCTAAGTACAAACACATCATGTCAGTAAGGACAATGAGACGCATTTGCTCATTTCATTCACATGTTACAGATGAGGACATTGAGATTCAAGGAGAATATTGGACATCTTAGCATCAATGGCAATAAAACCACAGATGTGGGACTCCAAAGTTACAGCTTGGCACACTACTCACTATGATCTCCATTTTAAAAAAACAAGTAAGCTTCAACATCAATCCTCCAGGAAATTCAGCTCTGTTAATCAAATGAAAACCAAACCCACTGCCACAGTATCAATTCTGACTCATAGTACTCCTAGAGGACAGAATGGAACTGCCTCACAGGGTTTCCAAGGCTGTCAATCTTCTCGGAAGCAAAGCCCAAACCACACCCAGTGCCGTGGAGTCCACTGGGACTCACAGCACCCCCAGAGGACTGAGCAGAACTAACCCACCGGGTTTCCAAGGCTGTCAATCTTTACAGACAACCTCATCATTCTCCTGCAGAGTGGCTGGTGGGTTCAAATTGCTGACTTTATGGTTATCACTTGAATGCTTTAACCACTGTACCACCAGAGCACCTCCATTACCTTCCTTACCTGTGTACCCCATAGCTCAGGCCTCTGAAACCAACAGGACAGACCTCTTGGGGATTTGCTTTGGGTCTGCCTGCCTCCACTTCCCATTGGTGCTGAGGAGTGCTGACTGACTCTGCTGTGTGCTAGAAAGGAGGATTCTATACCCACAGCCAACATACTACAGGTGGGCTGGTATAACAACAGGGCAGACCTCCCTGGCAGTCCAGTTGGAGTGTGACCAACCTCCTGCAATGAGTAACTGTTGGCTGGTGGTCTTATATGAAAACCTAGAGAAGGTGCACTACTGTGGAGTCAGGAGGCAGATCAGCTAAGTGGTTGCTGCTCCCCCAATCATCCCAGGGCCACTGGGATCTGAAGCCCCCTTTCAGAGGGCCTTCTGGGGAATGCCATCCCTTCCTCCTCCTGAAACAGGAGGCCACTCTGCCTGTGCTTCTGATAGATACCAGCTCAGACACAAGCAGCCCCCACAGAGCAGGGAAGGAAGCCTTGGGAAAAACTGGAGTGCAACACTCAGCCCAGAAGGGAGCTTGCTGGCTCTGGGTTTTCTGACTAAAAAGATGATTGAAGAAACAGAGAAGGGAAGGGAGTAATAACAAGAGAGGGGACTGTGCCCCAGTGGACAGATTGATTAGTGCACAATACCTGAGTGATGGTGTCCTCTGGTAGGCTGACTGACCACAGAATGGTCCCTAGTGTGTTTGGGAGAGACTGAAAGTTGAAAACAAGATCTACGACCCCTGAATCCCAATTAAACCAAAGAGGGAGAAGGAGCTATCACAAGGAGGGGGAGTAAATGGTGGGCAAAGACCAAAGGCTCTGCCCACCTAAGAGTTTCTTACAGGAAGCAAAAATGCCAAACCAAGGAGAAAATCAAGAAACTTAACACCCTTGAAAATTCCAGTGCCTCCAACAAAATCACATGTCACACAAAGAACATAGAAACAATGGCCCATCCAAATGGACATGACAAAGGGAGTGAGAGTGCAAGGCGGGATGATGAAATAATGGAAGAACGAAATAACATAATACAACATTTATCATAATTAAACAAAAAGGGAAAACTTAAAGAGCTGAAAGAAGGAAAACAATGCAAGAACAAAATGAGAATCTAAGAAAAGAGATACTGCTCTTTTCCCAACTCGTTCCAACTGAATGGGACAACTAAAATGAGAAATACAACAGAAGGAATTACCAACAGATTTAGTCAGGTGGAAGAAAGAATCAATGAATTAGAGGGTAAGATTGTTAAAATTACACATACTGAAGAGCAACAAGAATAGAGGCTCAAGGCTGAGCACAGTTTAATGCAACTATGGGACAAGAGACCTAATACAGGACTTCCAGTAAAATGGCGGGATAAGCAGACAAGGTACACAGACCCTCTTCAACAAAGAAAACAGAAACCAATAGACACAGATACAGAAGATAGTCCTGGAGCCCTGAGCTTTGAAAGGAAGGATATAGACGTGGATTAAACACCAACTAGTAGAAGAACCTGAAGGAAAGCACTGAATAAGAAGACAAACGGAGCTGCGTACTGTCAACTATCCTGATGGCATGGACAGTTTTAATATTTCCAACTGGCATTAGGACCTGAGAATTAACCTAGAAATTGGCCCTGCTCACCAAGGGGCTGCATGGGGAACTGCGCTGATGGCTGGTGACTAAAAAGGGAAACAGCAAAGAAGGAGACAAACTGAGCTGTGGACTTTCAGCTGTCTAGAGGGCGCAGCCATTTTGAATGTTTACAAGTGGCAGCCATTTTGGATATTTAAAATACAACAGCATTCTCATTCAAATTCCAGGGACCTTAAGAATAGGTTCACTTGCCAAGGACAGCACAGACATACTGGAGGCTGATGACTGGAATGGCGACGACAGGTGGTGACTGTACAGCTGCTGCCAATTAGCAAGCAGAGGAACACAGTACCCTGCTTAGACAGATATATACAAAGAAAACAAAAATCTTGGACAAATCACACCAACACACAATCACCAATTAAATATAAACACAACAACATCACAATGTCTTGGAGACAACAGACCATCAGAATCCACACAAAGAAGCAAGATAAAGCAGTAGAAAGAAGGGACTAGGATACAGACCCAAAACACATCTCTGAGAGAGAAGCAGCTTTGGAACTCCCTGGTAAGAAATTCAAAAGAATTATATTTAGGTACCTTCAACAGACTGAGAGACAGATCAAAGAAAACACAGACAAAAATGAGGAAAACACAGACAAAAACCCTAGAACAATTTCAGAAGACAATACAAGAACAAAATGATAAAATAAATTAAAAATTAGAAATGATACAAAATATAAAGATCAAAATCCAGAATACTAATACCGAACTCAGAAATAGGTAGCACATTGAAAGGGCAAAGGAGGAGAATTGAATCAATAGAAGACAGAATCAGTGAGATTGAAGACAAATACCTCAATACTTCTCGGGAAAGGGATCAATCAGAAAACAAAGGTTAAAACCACATGAAGAAAGCCTAAAGTTCATGTGGGATACCAACAAGAGGAGTAACTTACTTGTAACTGGAATTCCAGAACAAGAAGAGACAAATAAAACCACAGAGAAAATTGTCTAAGATTTCTTAGAAGAGAATTTCCCTCATAAAGACAGGAATATGTCCATTCAAAAAGTCCAGTGCCTTCCAAACACTATAGACCCAAAAAGATAATCACCAAGACATATATCATAATCAAACTCACCAACACCAAAGACAAACAAAGAATCCTGAAAGTAGAATGGAAAAAATGAAAAGTTACCTACAAAGGTCAACCAATAAGACTAAGCTCTGATTTCTCAGCAGAAACCAGGCAGGTGAGAAGGCAAAGGAATGGTATATATAAGCCCAGAAAGAAAAAAAAAGTGTCCAATGAAAACTGATATACCCAGCAAAACTGCTCCTCAAATATGATGGTGAAATTAGGACATTTCCAGATAAGCAGAAATTAAGGGAATTTGTTAAAACCAGACCAACCTTATAAGAGATGCTAAAGGACGTCTTTTGGACAGAAAACCAACAATAACAAACAACTGACCATTAACACACATGATGAAATAACCCAGAAACCAACCCAATTATGGAAGTGTTCTAAGTAAATAAACTTACAAGATTGTAAACAGGAAACCAGAGACATAAACTGACAAATGAGGACAGTATAAAACAAAAAGAGGGGGAAATGATGAGGAAGTCAAGACAACTGCAAGACAGAATGGACTGTTCTAAACTTGGGAAGGAAATGATAAATCACAGGGTAACCTCAATGAAAAATAATAAACCTTCACATCACAATAAAAAAGAGGACAAGCACAAATATTTAGCAAATACTAAAACCAACAGCAACAAAGGAAGTGATAACACGATTCATAAACAAAGCAAGGTCAGCACAGGAAATTATATGGAACAAAGAAATCAGCAACACCACAAAAAAGCACATAACAAAATAACAACAACAAATTCATACTTGCCGATAATTACACTGAATGTCAATGGATTAAATGCACCACTCGAAAGATGGAGAGTTGCAGACTAGATAAGAAAATATAACCCATCAATATGCTGTCTATAAGAGACATACCTTAGAGAAAAAGACAAAAATAGAGTAAAAATCGAAGGTTGGAAAAAGATAAGAATGGCAACCATAAAAGAGCAGGAGTGGCAATATTAATTTCTGATAAAATTCACTTTAAGATAAAAACCACCATAAAAGAAAGGAAGGGCATTATATACTGATTAAAGGATTGATTGAACAAGAGGGCATAACCATAATAAATATCTATGCACCCAATGAAAGAGCCGCAAAATATAAATCAGACTTCAACAGAACTGAAAACCAATAGATGACTCCACAGTCATAGCAGAAGACTTTAATATACCACTTTCAATCCAAGACAAGAACTAGAAAGAAACTCAGCAAAGATGCAGAAGAATTAAACAATGCAATCCACCAACTTGACCTTATAGACATCTACAGAGCACTTCCCTCAACAGTAGCACAATACACATTCTTTTAAAGTGCATACGAGCTCTGGTAGCATAGTGCCTAAGGCACTTGACTGCTAACCAGAAAGCTGGCGGTTCAAACCTACCAGCCACTTCTCGGAAGGAAGACGGGGCAATCAACTTCCGTAGTGATACTGCCTCGGAAACCCAAGGAGGGGGTCACTATGAGTCAGGTCTGACTCGACAGCACATAACAACAGCAACAACATGGAACATCCCACAGGAAAAACATGTTAGGCCACACACACACAAAAAAAAACCTGACCGCTGTCGAGTCAGACTCGACTCATGACAACTCCTCCTGAGGTTTCTGAGGCAGTA